GAGAGAGAGAGAGAGCAAAAGGAGGCGTGGCCACATGTCCCGCCTCATTCATAAAGTTGATATCACGGACACACGAACTCAAGCAGAGGAGAGGGGGGGCAAGGGAGGAGGGGAGGGAGGTATCACGCCACCCCCCCCTCCCCTCGCGTCTTGGAAACACCTGCATTCTATTAGCCTGGCCATCCCTCCCCCCCCCTCCCATTCAACCCTTCGCCATGGGTAGTCCCGCCAATGACGATGATGCGAGTGAACAATCCAAGTGTGTTATTTACATATTCATCTTCATCTCTGAGCATTTACCTACCTCACTACCAGTAAATATAAAAACACACACACACACACACACACACACACTTCTTATGAACATGTGTATGAACACATCTTGCCTGTGTCTCCAATGCATATAAATACTTAAATATATATAAGGCAAATGACACAAAAAAGTCACTGTAATAAGCATACAAACAATCAAACAAACACGCCAACAATACAGAACAAAATAAAACAATAATAAAAACAAAGTAAATTTCCCAAACCATATAACGTTTCCTTGAAAAAAAAGACAATTAAAAAAAGAAAGAAAAAGACAAGGGAAGGCGCAACTTTAAACACGGAAAAACACGCAGATGCCCGAGAAAAGAAAACAAGAAAGAGAAAAAGAAAAAGAAAAAACAAAACAAAAACAACATGGCGCAGCGGCAAAAGAAAACAAAAATAAATAAATAAGAACTACTCAAGACCCTCTCTCTTGCGAAGGCAGAGCGCGTCGCCAAGGCCCAAAATCCCACAGACCGCCTACGGAGATCCGACCTTAAGGCATGGCCAGATCCTCCAAAATTCCCTCCGACCCTTCAGGAAGCACTACCTCTCCCCCTCCCCTTCCCCTCCCCTCCCTTCTCCCTTCCTCCCTCCCCCCTTCTCCTTCCCCCTTCCTCTCGTTCCCCCCCCTCTCTCTAGTATCTCTAAAACACAAGGACCTACACACGCACGTGCGCGCATACACACACACACACACACACACACACACACACACACACACACACACACACACACACACACACGCACACACACACGCACGTACACACTGTCCCCTCCTCCTCTTCTTCTTCTCCTTCTTCTCCTCCTCCTCCTTTTCCTCCTCCTCCTTATTAGGAATTACAAGGAACAATTAATTAGATTCTCCGACTCGAATCCCTTTTCCTTTGCAAGATCCTCCCGATCTGTCCTTCCGGCAGTCACGATTACTGAAGCAGACAGCAACATCAGCTCTTAAAAGGTAGTCATAGCGAGGCACAAACAGATACACATATAGCTTACTGTATAAATTTATACCTGAATGCTTATGTACTTGAATACATAAATACATACATACACATATGTGCATGTATATGTATGTGTATATATATACTAACAGACACACACACACACACACACACACACACACATATCCAGTACATTCCACGTGTATTCCAAGAATAACTCCCCCCCCCCCATGCGTCCCCGCCTCCCCGCCGCCTACAACCCCTCCGCTCTCAGCCATTACAACCCACAACCCACACCTACAACCCCTCCCCCCTCCCCCCCCAATAACCCCCGAGTCCAAGGAAGCCAGCCTGCAATAACCCCGGTCCCTCCCGGTAATAAAAACCGGGTAAAGGTGCCCGCCCAAGATCAAGAGTTCTGCCTGCTCGTCGGACATGTTTCAAACGTGTCGGACGGCGGGTTCTGCTATAGGATATTTCGTCTGTGTGTCTGTCTGTCTGGGTCTATATTTCAAATAACTATCCGTGGGAATAAAGACAAGAACAAGAAAACAACAATGACAACGACGACGACGACGACGACGACGACGACGACGACAACAACAAAAACGACAACAACGACAACAATAACAATAACAAAAACGACAACGACAACGACAACAACGACGACGACGACGACGACAACAACAAAAACATTGACAAAGGCGCCCCGTAAAAAAAAGAGTAATTTGGTAAAGTTTCTTTTGTACAAATTTCGTTGAATACTTCTTTTTTTTCCCCAACTAGCAAAAAGAAAAAAAATATATTTCTCAACTTGCATCTTCAAGAGAAAAGCCTCATGAAAGGAGAAAACAATTTTTAAGGATTTTTTTTTCTTTTCTTTTTTTGTTTTCGTTTATTTACATTTATATCATTCCACTTTATTTTATTTCCGGGCATTTAAAGAAGACTTTAGCAATTAAATCTTCATCTCCGTCGACAGTCAACAATGATTCAACATTTCCCCTAAAAAACAAACCAAAGAAAAAAAAATACGAAAGACAGAAGAAGAGGAGGAGGAGGAGGAGAAGAGGAGGAAGAAAAAGAAGAGGAAGAAGAAGAAGAAGAAGAAGAAGAGGAATAAAAAAGAAGAGGAAGAGGAAGAACAAAAAACAAAATGAAAATAACAAAAAAGCCGAATAGATTTTCCCTCCAGCAATATTCAAATACACCAGTTGCAACATTTCTTACGCCTTCTCAATTTCAAGCGTATCCACTTGAGACGCAATAAAAACTATTTCGTTGCGTTTCGTGTCTTTCATCCTCCAACACACTAAGGGGAAAAAATGCGGTGTTTTCGCCTTTCTTCAAAAAACTGACCTTCAAACAAAATTCGAAACTGTATATTTTACAGAATTCACAAAATTATTATTATTATTTTTTTTTCATGATACGTACATAATATACATACATACACATATACAATCATACATATATACATAACATATGATTCGTAAATAATATACAGATATACTATCATATATATATACATAAAGCATATCTATATCTATATCTAAATCCATCTATCTATATATACATATATAGATAATCTATGTATATATATATATATATATATATATATATATATATATATATATATATATTATATATAATATATTATATATTATGTCTATGTATATAATGTATATTATATATATATATATATATATATATATATATATATATAATATATATATATGTATATATATAGTATATAATGTATATTATATAAGTATATATACATATGTATATGTATATATGTATATGTATATATGTATATGTATATATGTATATGTATATATGTATATGTATATATGTATATGTATATATGTATATGTATATATGTATATGTATATATGTATATGTATATATGTATATGTATATATGTATATGTATATATGTATATGTATATATGTATATGTATATATGTATATGTATATATGTATATGTATATATGTATATGTATATATGTATATGTATATATGTATATGTATATATGTATATGTATATATGTATATGTATATATGTATATGTATATATGTATATGTATATATGTATATGTATATATGTATATGTATATATGTATATGTATATATGTATATGTATATATGTATATGTATATATGTATATGTATATATGTATATGTATATATGTATATGTATATATGTATATGTATATATGTATATGTATATATGTATATGTATATATGTATATGTATATATGTATATGTATATATGTATATATATATATAGTAATATATATATAATATATATAATATATATATATATGTGTGTGTGTGTGTTGTGTGTGTGTGTGTGTGTGTGTGTGTGTGTGTGTGTGTGTGTGTGTGTGTATGTATGTCTTTCTGTCTGTATGTATGTCTCTCTGTCTGTATGTACGTATCCATGTATGCATTTATGTATGTATGTATGTATGTCTAAAATAACTGCCTATGCCACTACCATGCCACTAAAACCTCCTACTAGAAAAAAAAAATGTTCTGAGCATGCGGCCCTAGAAGCACCTAGAGGAGAGAGAAGATTCCCGCGGCCAGAATGAGAGAAAAGATGAAATAAATATAAAAAAAAAAAGAAAAAGAAAAGAATGGAAAAATCCCTCTAGAGGAAAATTCCTTCCCTCACCACCCCCCCTACATCGCACCTTCTTCCTCCATAACAAAAAAATAAATAAATAAAATAGATAAATAAAATTTAAAAAAATAAAAAGTAAAAATGATCTACAGAAAAGAACCTCTTCTACCGCGTGAGAACTTTTTTCATAACTTTAGTCCGGCCAAAACAACGAAGAAAAAAAAAAAAAAAAAAAAAAAAAAAAAAAAAAAAAAAAAAAAAAAAAAACATTTCCAAGACGTCGCATCCCTTCCTTGTCGCTCCCTACCCCCCCTTTCCCCACTCTTCTCCCCTCCCCCCTCTGGAGAATAGTTCTCCTTCCCTCCCTCCCTCCCCTCCTCCCCCTTCCCTCTTTTCCCCCTCCTTCCTCTCCTTCTCCCTTTTCCCCTCTTCCTTTCTTTCCCCCTATTCCCCTTCCCCCTCCATTCCCCCTACCCCCTCAAGAAATCCCCTCATTTTCCCCCTCCCTCCCTCCCTTTCCTCCTCCTCCCCCTTAAGAGAGAGCCACTTCCATTTCCTCCTCCCTCCCTCACTTCCCCCTTTCCCCCTCCCTCCCTTCCCCCTCCCTCCTTCCCCCCTTCCACCTTCCCCTTCCTCCCCCCTCAAAAGAAAGCCCCTCCCTCCCCTCCTTTCCTTTCTCCTCCCCACTCAAAAGCCCCTCCCTCCCCCCCTTTCCCCCCTCCTCCCCCTCAAAAGAAAGCCCCTCCCTCCAGCTTTCCCCCTTCCTCCCCCTCAAAAGAAAACCCCTCCCTCCCCCCCTTTTTCCCCCTCCTCCCCATCGAGAAAACCCCTTCCTCCCCCACTTTCCCCCTCCTCCCCCCTCAAAAGAAAACCCCTCCCTTCCCCCCTTTCCCCTTCCTCCCCCCTCAAGAGAAAACCCCTCCCTCCCCCCATTTTTCCCCCTCCTCCCCCCTCAAGAGAAAACCCCTCCCTCCCCTCCTTTCCCCCTCCTCCCCCCTCAAGAGAAAGCCCCTCCCTCCCTCCCTCGCTTCTTCCCCCCTTCCCCCCCCCCTCTCCCCTCAAGAGAACCCCCCCCCCCCCCCCCCGTCCGAGCATGCCGGGTACTCAC